GGGGAGTGTTTCCGGTCAGCGCTGGCGAGGGCGCGGGCCCGCCATGCTCTGCCCAGGCCGGCTGTTTCTCCCCCCGCCGCCTGGGGCGCCTTCCGGTTTGGCAAAAGCCTTCTCGTGGAGAGTTCCGTGCTCCACAGGTCGCGGACGAAAGTGATTTGCGAAATGTGCTCAGAAACTAAATCTTGTCTCCTTTTATTTCTCTTCTAAACCAATTTACTTGTAGTTCCGAAAAGGTTTTTAGCGGAATGGATAACATCTTTTAGATGAGGGAGTTGGGAAATACTGAAAAATAAATATTCGGCAAAAGGGTTTGGTATAGTTGAGGTCTGAATTCTATTCAAACTAATAAAGTAATAATTATTTATTTCATTTATATTCATTTAACCTATATTTTAATATTATCCTAAAGCTTCAATTAATATTTTTTAAAAAGACAAAAAAATATTGTCTTGTTTGAAAATGTAATTCAGTCCCATCTAAATCTTGATTGCTATAAATTTATCAGTAATCGCTAAAAATAATGACATTTCCATTAGAAAAAATATTTAATAATTTTCTTACACATATTGGCGAAGAGAAATAGAGAAGATGTGTTTTATATAGAATTTTAATTAGAAATCTTAACATTCTCAAAACCAGCAAATAATACACAAAACGTGAGTTTTGTAGGAGTTTAGGCAATCCTCTGTACATATCTGAAAAATGTACGAGTGTATACAAAATTTGTGTGAGGAAGAGCATAATGTTGGCCCCTAGGTGGCTCATATGCAACATATTAGATTCCCAAGGTGGGATGGTGCGGGTTCGATTTCCGGTCGGGACAAAAATAGAGTTTTTGCTTTTCATTAAAGTCGTCTGTTTCTCTAGCTTTATGACGAAGAAAATCTCAGGCAGGCGGAGTTGACTACTTACGGTTAAGGGAATACGTCATGTTCATCACAAGTCTCTCTTATCCGCCAAGTGTGGAAATTAAACTACGCCCAGACTTGGGGGCTTTTAGATAGCCGGCAAAGTCGGACATTTAACCCAAAAGTTTTATTACAGCTTTATTAATGAAGATCAAATAGCGTTTTTTATATTGACCTTAATATGAACTTTATTGATGAGTAAAATATTCTCAAATCATAATGATAAAATTGTTTCATATTTTATTTTTAAAAAAAGGCAATACTTTTATTTAGATTCTGCAATTTTACTTATTCATCCCGTAACGCAATTCGTCTAATAATTTTCCTCCGGGATCATCTCTCCCTTTTGTAACGCGCTGCACAAATGTCTTTCCTGAGACAGCATCTCTGCAGACGCCGTTGCGCCTGGCCGAGCTTCCGCATACGTCATCTCCGCCTCCACCGCGCAGCTCTCAGAGAACAGCACATCACACCTTTCCTGACTTTCCAGTAAGCATTTCAAAGAACAGAGAGTTTTAAAAAATGTGGAAGGTGTAAAGTAAATAATGAAAATAACAAATATGATATATAACCGAAATGATCAACTTGTCATTTAGAAGCTTTCAAGGTTTTTGTTTTCCTTTAATGTTAATTTTATGACAAGTTAATGTTATTTTATTACACATTAATTAAGTTCAGTTGTCTCCAAATATTACGGGGAAAAATATTTACCAAACATGTGGAATGAACTATGTTAGTTTCTAACACGTAATTCACACTATTTTTGATTTAGTGAAGATTTGCCTTTTTTTACTTTTACACATGTATCTTGGTTTTCATGTCAAACGAGACCAAAATTCAAAATTTTTGACTAAAATTCTGAATTTCATTGATATACGAAATTAGCAACTATGTCAACTACTCCCTACTTCATATGTCGGTACACTTTGCAAAGTAACACAATTTTTAGGACTTTTTCTTTCACTCTATATAGGCCTATTTACCTATTTCTGTTTTGATTTATTTTTATTTCCTTCCTATTTTTGTATGTTTGCTTTTGAGCTTTTGAACTAGTGTGCACCACTCTGGTCTCGTCATGCGGATGGTGCCTCTGAGTTGCCCGGGGCAACGTTGCCTAGATCGATGCAAGAGTGTTTCGTGTGTGGGTTCAGAGGTGACGCGGCGGCAAATGGATAGCTCGTCTCTTGTGTTCGGAGGTTCTCTCTTCGCTCCTCTGCACAAATGGTTCTTCATCGCTGCTCTCTACGCAGTTTCAATGCTTCGTGGATGGAGTGTCTGAAGAGTGACCAGAGTAAATGAAGATTTGCAAGGCTTCACTTGCCCCCTCTCGGGAAGGTAGAACGATTTTGCAATCCTATCAGCGGTTACTGACATCAAAGGACATTATTCGGTGTTACAACTTGAATACATCCTTTTCAATTACCTTTCCACTGATTTTAATGGAGTCATTAATATGCAAGACGAATGTGATGCTTCTAATGAATACTGATGTCCCGTAAAGCCTGGCATGCACTTTTATGGGGATATCATCCATGCTTAATGAGGTCACTGATATCCAGTGCCGGGTGCCGAATGCTCAAATAGAGACAAGAAGTGTCGTAAAAATGTCAGTATTCATAAATCTAATTCTCCTTCGCCAAGAATCGCTCTTTCGCTACAGACGCCAACGAAATAAAGCTAATTACTATCTTTTGAAAGTAGACACTACCGAGATTATTTACAATTTTTCATAAATTTTTATTTTGTTCTTTTAATATTTCCAGATGATTGAGACGCGACACAGAGATTGTCAACGTACTTCATATTTTTATTCCATAGTATTTAAATATATAAGCAGTCATATAATATGTATATCGCTGTGCCCATTATACACATATTATATAACAATCGATCTTCATACACGTAAAGTAATTTCATTCCCAACAGTGGAGGTGATGGCACCACAAAACCTTCAAGCGAGTCGTAGGTATCTCGTTATCGGTATGAATAATCTTGCGGCGTTCGACTCCCGTTGCCTACGTCAGCACTGTTCCCGCATGCACAAAGCATCTTTCATCAGAATTAGCCTGCATTGTGTTATGGTATTCTGCGGTGGCGGCTGCGGCGGCGGCGGCAGATGTCGAAGGCTCGCGCCCCGCCGGGCGATCTGCACAAAGCCCGCCGCGCGTACAAAGGCGCGCTGGGACATGATGTACGATGCGGGGGCGGCGGCGGCGGCGAGGTGAGGCCGGCCCGTACGCCCTCGTCCACGCGACCCCGAAGGTGGTGCTGGCTTCACGTGGCAGGATTTGGCTAACCTGAGGCCACCCTTAACCCCACACCCCACGCCCCCTCACCCGCCACGGACTCGTTGTGCAGAGAAGTCATATGTGAATGGAAACAAAGTATCGTGAAGTGACAATTCAGAAATGATTGTGAGACAATATTTGTTATTTTGCGAATTTTCGAGAAATATTTTCCTGTAGAGCGATCAATATTGTTCATTATGAAGATCATCTCCTAGTAAAAATGATTTTTTTCTTATAGAACTGGTTATTCATTATTAAATACTTTTTGATAGATGTTGTTCTTATAGTCTTGTCTGAATTAAAGTATTTGTGATTTCCGCTAGATAAATTCAGTATTCTCGTACAAATAATATCAAGCACATTATTATGTAACTGTTAAGACTGATGTGTGTATGTGTGGTTAAAAATAAAAGCATGTTATATTATTCATCAGCTTTGCGAATTAGATTTAATTACGTCATTTCATAACGTCAACGTTTCATCTTAAATGTACAGCCAGATGCTGCGAAGTTCATTTATCACTTTTCCTAGGAAACAGATTGGTGATGGATTTCTAAGAAAAAATACTTCGAAGTAGTTGGCTT